ATGGCATAGCACATAATCAATCACTTTACAACAATAAAGTTTAAATTATAGACGGATTAGAGATAAAACTTGTTTTAAAGAATTTGGAAATTTGGAAATTTTATCTTAAAGCGTTTTATAATTTAAACCTTACTATTGTCAACACTCACCACTACATAAAGTGATTGATTATCTCCTAATCTGTATTCGTTTGGACCAATTTACCTAACCTCACTTTCTACTTTAAAGCATTATAATTATATTATAATTATATTTATTTATATTTAGTTATATTTATATTTATTTATTTATTTTACACTATGTTATAGCTAGCAAAACAGTTCTTCAGAATTGGTACCGCTAAGTAAAAAAATATCGTTTAATAAATAAAATTGTGCCTTGAAGATAAAATGTCGTAGGTAATTCGGCTGAGAAGTGTTTTTTGAGTTCAGGACTAAAAAGCCTTAGTTCTCAGCCTAATGACATACCTACTATTATTATAAATGTACTGTTTTACTGTGGGTTTATAATACAGCGATAAATTTTTAAAATGTAGCATTTATTAATAAAATAAAAATTACACATGGTCCACATATGAACTTGTATTACGTTCTGCAGATGTTTGTTGACAATATGTTTTATTTGATAAAGGTCAATCACTAAAAACTTTTATTACAAATAGTAAATTATCATTAAAACAATAAGGTATTTTTCTTTAATTGCGGCAAATTATCCTAAATTAATTAATTGGCATTAATTCTAATTAAAAAATGTCTTTGTGTTTACGTTTTATCTAAAAATACTTTAGTAATCAAAGTTTAATTTGTATTAAAGTGAATACATTTAAAATTTTGTAAAATTAAACAACTGCTCAATCTGTAAAAAAATTCGGAAAAAAATCACCTTATGGGAATATTTATAATTAGTTTTGTAGTCATTTTTTACATGAATCTTTTTGGGGGTTAAATAATAAAACTTAAATGAGAAGCATCCCTGCAAAACCGGCTATATCCATTTTAATAAAATGTTGGAAAAATAGCAAAAACTCCCCGTTTCCTGGCCTTTACAGATGAAAAAATGCATCTTGAGTTTTTTGCCCAAAAAAATGGATCTTAAGTTTTGTGCCCACAAAACTCAAGATGCATTTTTTTATCTGTAAAGGCCAGGAAACAGGGATTTTTTCCCAATATTTTATTAAAATGGATATAGCCGGTTTTGCACGGATGCTCCTAAATATACTGGACCAAACGATATTGGTCTATGTATTCCTATTTTATTGATTTAATTGAAGCTCTATATACATATAACCATACATGGTTAATTAACCAAAACAAACAAATAAAAACTAATACAAAATATTCTCCAATCCAACACAAGAAAATACGTCAAGTACGGATACTTTAATCCGGTCAAACCTGAAGTGTCATTTGGCTCAAAATTAAAAAAAAAATACTTAAATGAATTATAAACGCTTTTAAATTTTAAATCAATATCTTTTTCCGTTCCCCTAAAACTTCCAATGGACCACGAATGTGAAACACCCTGTATATCAAGTGGTTTTTAGGTTGTGATACCACTATAGATTCTAAAGTAATGTATAATCGTCAAACTAAAAGATCAATCAATATTTGTCAATCAAATCAATATTTGTTTCCAACATGTAAGTATTTAATATTTATATTATTATGTTTAGGTTAAAATAATAAGAATGGCTGTATAAAAAATTTAAATGACGTGATTTCGTGACACTGGTACGTTTTTAAAATCTTTATTTTTAAAATCTGTTAAAATTTTTCATGGGAGGAAAATCGTGTTGAAGTGTGTTATATCTTACAAACTGCTCTACTTTCAATAACTTTTAATGACATTTTCGGATTCAGCGGACAATTTTACATTGGAATTAAATGTTAAATGTCCGGGATACACATTGATGACTACAGCTATTAGTGGCTGCTTTTTTGCTATAACATTTTTGACTAATTCATTTTAAGAGAGCATACAACTGTTTCAAGTTTTGTCAAAATTGCGGATGTCGAGACATATATTTGGCTTGTGTAAATATTTGTTTTTAAATGTATTATTGTGTTATTTAAAAGTATTATTAATAGTCATTATTTGAAAAATTATTTCCTATAAACTTTTATGTACAGGGTGATCCCCTATAATGTCGCCCCCCTTTAACTTTTTTATTTTAAGGGTCCCAAAAAATTTAAAAGTGTGGTTATGTAGGTACTAAAAAATACGTATATAGAAAATTGGAAAATTAATCAGTAGGTATACAGGAAAAAACAAAAAGTTTATTTTTTTAATGGATCACCCTATATATTTATTTTTCGATACCTTGTAAAATTCTAAGCATATTTCATATAACATACCATATACCTAAATTCAACCGTTTCTGAAATATTTAAATTATTTTTATGATAAATTATTTCTATGATAGTTTGTCTTTATGTGTCTGAGTACGCCATTTTTACTTATTTAACAAGACATATTGACATAATGTCACTATAGTAATTTATTTTCAATAAAAATTTCGGTATACTGAGGCTTCTTGATTTCTAAGAGTTTAAAAAAACATTTAATGATAACATTTCGAATGCGAATACTTCAGAAACAGTTGAATTTAGGTATATGGTTTATATGAATTATGCACAGAATTTTACAAGGAATCGAAAAATAAATTCATATATAGGGCGATTCATTGAAAAAAAATAAACTTTTTGTTTTTCCCTGTATACTTATCAATTTAACAATTTTCTTTAGGTAGAAAAAAAGTATTTTCTAGTACCTACATAACCACACTTTTAAATTTTCTGGGACACTTAAAATAAAAAAGTTAAAGGGGGGCGACATTATTGGGGATCACCCTGTACAATTAGGATACAGAGTTATTTTTTGTAAGTATAGACTATTTCATGTTTTATTCGATAATTGCTTTATTAATTTGGAAGATTTTACAAAATTATTAAAAATAATTCCCGCATCATAATTTCAAATTATTTATTAGTTTTACTTAATTTGCAAATAATAATAATAATGGAATTAATAAGTTTAACCATAAGGCAGATTTAAAATATATTTTGTTGATTTTCATGGTAATAACAATTTTTAAAATTTCGTTTTAAATTATACGGTAATATATTTGGACTTGGGTAGTTCTTGTTTAGTATTTTTGTAGATATAATATATATATATATATATATTAGGGTGCTTCAAAAAAAATTTTTTTTCGCTCTTACCCTCTCAAATGTTTTTATTTAATATAAAAAAAATTCTCACCAAATATGGGCGTTCCAGCTCAACTCTAAGAGGTCGCTATTTTTATTTTAGAGGTCATTTTTATTTTAGAGGTCAAAGTTTTCCCCCTTTCACCTCCCGTCTGCTAATTGTACCAGAAAATTTAATTTTAATCAACTTTGACCTCGAATAACTCTAGAAGAAATCAATTTATCGAAAAATATTAAGAGACCTTTTTTGTAGAGCGTTAAATTTTATATAAGAAACTGCAATTATCATTGCCATAAGTTACTTTGATACAGAGGTATAAAATTCCAAACATAAATTAATTTTTTCCCATGTTAATTCAATGGGAAACTAAAATAAAAATAGCGACCTCTTAGAGTTGAGCTGGAACGCCCATATTTGGTGAGGATTTTTTTTATATTAAATAAAAACATTTGAGGGGGTAAGAGCGAAAAAAAAATTTTTTTGAAGCACCCTAATATATATATATATATATATATATATATGTATTAGGGTGGTCGTTAAAAATTAAATTTTTGATGAAAAAACACTAGGATTTTTTTTTTATTTAAAAACAACACGTGCCTCAAGCTTGCAAGACGATCTAAGTTAATTTTTTGGTATAATCATGTTTTTTTGTAATTTTTTATGAAAAATAAAATTTTATTCGAAATATAAACAATTTTAGAACCCAAATCAATAAAAAAACAATAGTTAATCGAAATAACAATAGACAAAAATTTAAATTCAAAATTTTTCCCAGTCTATTAAATAAAAAAATGAAAGATATTCAAATTGATATTTTTATTGTAAAACTAAATTAGTTCAAACGTAATTTTAATATCTAGATTTCTTCAATCCAAGGTGAAGTTATTTCATTGTTAATAATTTTTAAATCTCAAAAAAATTATTATTCCATATTTTCAGGAAAGACATGATTATTCTTATAATTAACTTAGATCGTCTTGAGGCACGTGTTGTTTTTAATTAAAAAAAAAATAATTTTCTAGTGTTTTTTCATCAAAACGAAGCATTTTAGGGGGCGTCGCAAAAAATTTAATTTTTAACGACCACCCTAATATATACATATATATTATATAATATAGTATTAAGATAAAAAATATTTTGTTGTTAATTTGTATTAAATTATATTTTCGTACAAAAAATAAATTTCGCTTAGGATTTAACTAATAATAATATAAATAATAACTTAAATTGTTATGTTACAAATTTTTAATTTGTTAGACTTTATAATAAAAAATAAAAGCCACTTTAAGAACATGTCTCTTTGTTAGAATGACCCATATACTATCACCATTAGGTTGAAACATTTCTATATGTTATGTCTAATTACCAATACAATATCTAGTACATTGATTTATGTTTATTTTTTCAAGGACACGGTTTCCTTATAAGTAAACTAATTGGTTTGTTTCTTAAAAGTAAGTAATTCTTTTAAAAACTTAAATGAATAATGAAAGTTATATAATTCATGACAACAACCTGTACCTCATTATTCATATAGATACACGCTGTACAGCTATATACATGGTTCCTTTATTGGTATATGAGGTAAAAAAACATTTTTAAAGAAAAGTATTTATTAAATTGTTTGGCATAGTTAATATTCTTGCATTGTGTATTAAAGTGTTTTTAATTGATATAAAGGTAAACAAGATAATGTGCTAAAGCAGACAACAAAAGTTTTCTCAAATCCATACTAATTAATTTTTTGTCGCTATAATAAAGTTACAAACATGCCTTTATTTTTACAGGGAAAAGAATTGAAAAATGATGAATGCACGAGTATAACCTCAGGCGAAGGAGTATCCTGTCTTCTTTTGCAAAACATAACGACCGACGATAGTGGAAAATACAATATCTGTGTTGAAAATGACTACGGCGTTGATTGTAACTTTGCTTCAGTATCCGTTGAAGGTAAGTCCCTAATTTTAATTAATGTGTGGCGGACAGCCACGCTGGTCAGCAAAAGCTCTCCAGAGGCCCCTGGAGGCCCAGCACCTTTTTTGCAAGGCAAATATTTTAATCTGATCTCGATGCAATCTGCTCAAAAATTTGAATAAATATTTGCACAAGTATAACGTGACGTCACGTGCTAAATTTTAAAATAACAGCTATAATTTATCCTACATTGACGAGCTGGGACCTTATGGCGTTTTGAGCATTTAAGTCACGGGCTGAAGTGAGCTTTATTAAAAATTAGGGAAAAGTGAGGTTAAATCTGTTAAAAGTCAAAGATGTCAAATGTTTAACAAATAAAATTTGCTTTAAATTCTTCTTTGTGATCGTCTTAGATAAAGTATAGTATGCAATTCGTTTTATAAACTTTAAACTATAATGATTTTGTATTATAATAATTTTTTTTTAATAGAAATATTCAAGAGTTTAACATTTGAGAAATGGTCATTTTCATTTGGATGAATTATTTCACTTGACTTAAGCTTGTGTCGCAATATTTTATCCGCATGGCACTGGTCAACTTTCTTAATCGTTAAGGAATATACTATAACCCAATCAAGACTTGCATAGCAATATAAACTTTGCCAATATTTAATTAACTTTAATAGATATATAGATATTACAACAGATATAATTTAAACTTTTTTGACCCGTGTTATAAATTAAACTATATTTTGCATGAATATTATTTAAACAATCTAATGAAATCTTAAATAACAACAATTTAATGACCTTCAACTAGAAAAATGCAGTGTTATTTAATAAGCATAGCAATAATTATAATTAAACGTAACGCTGACAATATTCACTGCATGAATAATTCAATTATTGTATGCTGTCCAAAACAGGTAAGTATACTTATATATACCAATAAGAATATTGCAAATTTTGGCGGCCGCACCGGAATAACTATAATAGTTATTTATGTATTAAGGGCATAATAAGGTTTTTAAGGTCCGAGGCGCTATTTCGAGCCTAGCGCGTTAGCGCGATGGCTAGAAAAGCGTCGTAGGACCATAAAAACCAGTTATGCCAGCAATGCATAGAAAACTTTATGCACGATTATATATTATTATTTTTAATATATTATTGTTTTTAAAGACGTTTACGTCAAAGAATTTTTGTTATAATTGTCATATTATAATGTCATCGTGCATAAATATTATTGACATCAGTCAGTTTTAAAGTTTAAAGATGAATGAAATTGAGGAAGCAGCTGAAAAATCTTTATACGAAAAAACTTACTTTAATAAGCTCATAGTTTTGCGCCTATTGTTTTTAATTTTTGACGTTTCATTATAGCCCGCTGGGTCATAATAACGCCCGCGGGCTATAAAAAGACGTTTACATCAAAGAATTTTTGTTATAATTGTCATATTAATATAATTATAATGTCATCGTGCATAAAGTTATTTATTGTTTTGTAGCTGTTACCCACAACTTCATTCGCGTGAAAATAGTAATTTACATTAGCTATAATAAAGGGCCAGTTAAAGGTCAAGGGTCAAATTTCAAATGCTTGGCCAAAAAATAATAATCCAGTATCTAGGTTTGTTTTTCTTTCACGCATAAATCACCACTCAATATCCAATGCCGAATGCGACAGTATACGATAAAAAACGTGCAATTTTAAGTTTAAAAAAATATTTAACTTAATTATTGGTATTGGTAACAAAATATGTTTAAAATTGGTCATTTATTTTGTGACACTTTTTCACAGCAAACGGAAAAATATAGAAGTGTATTGGATGACGCCACGTTTGAATACAGATTTCTAAGTCTCGCAACGGTATAGATTTGTATTCGTCAGTCGAGCGATTTAATACTCTCCACAGTATAGAGATCGTAATTTGACTTTTGAACTAGTATTAATATGAAAATTATTTATTGCTTGAAAAAAAATTATAAACGACATGATTGTGATTTTTTTCATTTTATTAATTAATTAAGCTGTGTTGAATTATTTTTCCTATAGGAATAATTGCCACTGAGCCACTAATTCATTTGTTCCTAGATGCTACAATAATCTGCACTGGTGTGTACTTTTTATAGATTTAAATATTGCTGTACTAACATATACCAGTGGAGATAGTGCAGGGTCTACCAACAGACCTCATTATTAAAATAAAACTTTAATTAAAAATGTTTAATACAAATATACAGTTCATTTTTTTTGTTAGGTTGGTGGCCTATGCCAGTTTGACTTAGTATTTTTAGTATTTAAAAGTTGTACTTCCGCTAGAGAATTTAATTAAATACTTTGACACTGTCAAATTGACAATAATATTTATTATTGATTAGTTCCCTCATTATAATATGAACCAATCAAAAGCCTTGAATTTTCGAATAAATTTCGTTTAAATAAGCGATTAAATCACTAGTACTATTTAACATTTAGCGATTAAATTTTAGCCTCCATATTGGATTTTTGTTTACGATTTTATGGTGTTATTTACAAGTTTTAACAAACATTTTTTAAAAAACAATAAAAAATAAATTATCTAGTTTACAAAATATCAATTATTACTTATTACATACCTTAAATTAATGGAATTTTCTTTAAAACAATATTTATAAATTTTGACACATACGTCAGATTTTATGAATTGTCAAATAGTTTCCTTTAATTCGAGAAATAATCTAGACGTACATATATCACTCAACCTATAAATTTAATCTGTCAAATGCTAAAAATACTAAGTCAAACTGGCATAAGCCACCAACCTAACAAAAAAAATGAACTGTATATTTGTATTAAAAATTTTTAATAGTTAAATAATTAATAGTTAATTAAAGTTTTATTTTAATAATGAGGTCTGTTGGTAGACCCTGCACTATCTCCACTGGTATATGTTAGTACAGCAATATTTAAAACACCTCCCACCCATTTTCTAGAACAATTTTGGACATGCAATTTGTGAGTATAGCTCCCTCCTTTTGTTACGATGATAACAGCCGAGTGGTGGCGCTACTAGCGATACTTCTTTAGCGTATACTGTAAAGATTTCTATTTACCCCAGGTTCGTTTAAAACAAGTTTTAATAAAATTGATAAATTAAATATTTTGTGGCTTTGGGTCGTGATATCCAAATTTGGACCTCTACGTGGTGTTTACTTACTTGTTTTATTAAATGCATTGCGTGGGAGAACTAGGTTTATAAGAAATAAAATACAGTGGCTTAGTTTACCCCAATTTAATTTACGTTAACTTTTACAAACAAGCAAGGGTTGGCTCTTAGCACTCAAACAAAGAGTACTCAAAGTTTAACGGTAACGGTCAGAACTCATGTTTAAGCACCGAATCATTTCGCGATACATCAACAAATTTAGACTGATCATAAAACAATGCTTAAACACGTGATAGAAAAGGTACAAAATGTTGGGTTAAGCACAAAACAAATTACAATGTTACATTTGAGCAGTCAATTATTAAAATTATAGTGATAACAGTAAAAGCGAAAATAGGTGTTAACAGTTAAACGTAAAAGTAAAGGATAAATATACTCATAATAGCAATAATCATATAATAATAAATATTATTAATAATTTTAAAAATGCATAATATTGCGTTTAGTTAATTTTACTACACATTTAGATAGATTAAATATTTAGAACTTACCTTGTAGAATACACTAACAACACTTTTAACAATGATTTTAGAACAATAATTTCATTTAACAATTTTATCAAAAACCAAGTTCTGCCTTATTTCTCAACGTTTCTGCATACGGCCCTTAGTATTCAAACGGGGAGTCATCCTATACACTTCTATATTTTTCCGTTTGCTGTGTTACGCAAGGTAGGCCCTACCTGGTAGGGTAATAGTTATTTCCGTGTCAAGCTTTGTAAATTAATCATTACGAGCGAGCTGGAAGTTTGTGGGCTGAGCGAGGCAGGAGCTAACCCCATAATTCAGTGAGCCTTGTAAAAATTAGTGTGACACGTACAATCTTTTATTTTCACCTTCATATGGCGATTTTCGTAAGTAATATCATAAGGGCATCTAATTTTTCCGAAAAAAATCGAAAAAACACGTTGCTAAGTAATATTTTAACAAGAAGCATGAGTGCTGGTGGCAACAAAAATCCGAGTCGTAGAGGAGGATTTTTGCACCTGCACGAATGCATATTACTTAGCATTGTGTTTTTTCGATTTTTTTCACAGGAAAAATTAGATGCCCGAATGGTATTTGACAAGACTATTTCATGAGTAACAGTTAACAATTAAAATATAAATTGCAATTTTTGGTGACAACAGCTGTCAAGTTTTGCCGCGGGAAAACTCGAAAAAACTGCTGACAGGTGCTGTCACACAGTTTTTTCACCTAGAAACCATTTGTAATTCAAAATTGCGCGTTTGTGATTGGTGGAAATTAAGACGAGGGAAATAGTCGTAAGTAATATCATAAGGGCATTTAATTTTTCCGAAAAGAATCGAAAAAACACGTTGCTAAGTAATATTTTAACAAAAAGCATGAGTGCTGGTGGCAACAAAAATCCGAGTCGAAGAGGAGGATTTTGCACCTGCACGAATGCATTTTGTTAAAAAATATTACTTAGCATTGGGTTTTTTCGATTTTTTTCACAGGAAAAATTAGATGCCCGAATGGTATTTGACAAGACTATTTCATGAGTAACAGTTAACAACATAGAAAAAGAATATAAGAAGGGCGACCACTGTGTTAAACTTAAGAAACACAAACGTCATAAACGCCTGCCAATTAGGGCCGTACTCCAAATATTTTATTAAATTTATAATACAGGGCCGGCTTTATCTATTTTGTATATATTATTAATTATAATATTAATTTATTTAAATTTGACCAATAAAATAAAATAGTTGCAAATATTTATTTATTTTAAAAAGTAAATGGTTATAATACACTAATTTTAACAATAAAATAAATTAAAGAATATACAAACAATGCATCTGTATTTTGAATGGGTTCAGAAGAGAAA